GTACAGAAAAGTTAGAATGGGGAAAACATCAAAGGTAGCCGAGCACGACCAATATAACCTAGTCCCCTGACTAGGGTTTTCCCATCATCATATGCCAGGCCTTCGTTTGGCCACCTTTGACTTTTTTCCACCCACTATCTGCCTCGGTAAACCTAGCGCACCGTGGCAATCCATTTGATGACATACGCCCAATCCACGCAACCTATGGAGGTCGGCCATTTACTCCAGTGGGCGACCTCAACCCCGTAAAACTAAGCATTTAACCTGAGCATTGCTTGTACGGTTTCCCACCAGACTCGTGCAATGCCGCGTGAATAACGGTTTTTTATTACACATATTTGTGCGATGAACAGCGGACGGGGCGAATCCCATAGTCACAAAGACCTGTTATCTAGAGATGGAAATCTGTAACCTAAGCCCCGGCACTTGGAGTGGCGAACTATAAAAGGCCCCAATGGGTTAGGTGTGGTATTGAACCGGACGACAGCAAAGCTGACTTCGGAATCGAGCCTACTCCGGGACACAAAGTGATAGGCTTGGAGTACGCCGATGAAATTGCATTACTCAGTGAGAATACAAAGAAGGTGCAAGACTCGCTAGGCCGCCTGACAATCCGAGTGGAACGGTAAGGCAAATGCTTGCGCGTTCAAAGTACAGGTTCTTGTTGCATGATTGGTAAGAGACTGTGCTTTTACTTTTGTTAAGTAGTGCTCCTCCAATACCATTGGGTACTTTAAATCATTCACAGTTCCGTCGACGAAGCTCACAATCACCGTCAGATCAGAAAGCTCCCTATACCGCAACCAAACTTTCACCACATTGCAATAACAGTGCACTCATTCCGCCTGCATACCTATGCCCTTCGGTCTCTAGATTATCATCATTCAATCTAGAGTTTCCGGCTGAAACCTTGTTTCATGACTCCACAGGATATCATTCCAGATCAGTGACACCGGTGCATCATCCACTGGTAGCGCGTCATTTAGTGGTAGTTGGTCATCTCAAGCATTTTGATAGACCGCAGCACATTAAAATCGGTTGTTGCACATTCAAACTAATGTACATTCTGAACCCGCAAAGATACATTCCCGCTAAGGATAATAAGGTTTCAAAGCTATTCTTCCTCAGGTATCGAAATACTCTTCATTGTAGCCCGCAGATAGTCACGAAGCGTAGTTTTACTACGGAGACAGTGACCTGTACGGTTTACTTTGATTGTTTAACTCCTGTGGAAATCGTAATTATAGATTCCGACAGGTCATCCTTCAAACTTCACCTTCCCGCACAATCCTAATTTCATTAAGTCAATCTTACAATTGGAAGCACCAGACTTGAGTTTCGCTCTTTTTACAGCTCATCAAAAGTGTACATCCATCGTCCCGTCCAGACGTTGAACTTCAGACCTAGTGCACGTCAGGCGTGAGTGTTAAAACTGTGCCAACCACCTGATACCGAGGCTGGACCGAATCACCCATTCATGTTCGTAGATCTTGGATTGTTGGACGCTTTCATAATCCAAACAACGGGCTGCCCGGTACTGATGGCCAAACAAATAATTTCGCACGATACGGAAATCAAATGCTTGATTCTTTCTGAATGTGCACGGCAGGCAAAATGGCACACGTGATTATGGTTTATTGAGCTCTGTTCACGAAAATCAGGTCGTCCAATTACATCTCTTTGTACATTGTGAGCAGAGGTGGATGTGATTAAGTTAACTTCTGAGTGTTCTGTTCTGGCATAAGGTGATTGGACTTGGACGTCAAACATTTGACAATGAGCTCATTAGACATACGGTCACTTTTTACAAACGTGCCACTGTTCGAAACGGTGTCTTACCTCTGCCAGTACATTGATGAAGAAAACATACAAATTGGAATCCCAACTACAAATTTGAAGGAACTATTATTACGATGTACATATAATATCCAATTTTCTTTTAATGGTACAATCTACAGACAGACGGATGGTGTAGCCATGGGTTCCCCACTTGGCCCGCTCCTTGCAGATGTTTTCGTAGCCAAACTGGAAAACAACGAACTACGAGATATCATACATCAACTCCCGCTATACTGCCGTTACGTTGACGATATTTTTATCCTTTCCGACAAAAGTATTTTACCGAACATATTCAATCGACTTTACAATGGAAACAGAAAATGAAGATACGTTTCACTTCCTCGACGTCAACCTGAAGAAAAGGCCCGGTGGAAAGTTATCCCGTTCTATTTTTCGAAAGCCAACATGGAACGGCCAATACACCCATTTTCAAAGTTTCGTCCCAATCAAATTTAAACGAAACCTAGTCCAATGCTTGGCCTACAGAACTCGAATGATTTGCTCCAAGGATCTAGTGGAGGAAGAACTTAAATTCATCAAATCCTCACTCCTCAATAACGGATACCCGGAGCGGTTCATCGAGAAGAACCTCACAGAAAAGCCAACAATGCCTAAACCAAGCACGGTCAAAAAGAAAGAACTATTCTTGCAACTCCCGTTCAAAGGAGACTCGAGTGGTGATATACTAAGAAGACGTCTTGAGAAAGCTACTACAAGAACATTTCCAGCCGCCACTCTACGTT